TACTTGCACCCCATTTACCAGGTCATCCCTGTTGGTTAGGATCAGATCCATAATAGCTGACCCCTTGTTGCCTCTTCCACCTTTTGGACAAAGAAATTGTCTTCCAGGCAAGTGAGGAATTTGCTAGACCTTGAAATATTGGCTGAGTTTGACTTCCAGCAAATATCAGGATAGTTGAAGTCACCCATCGCTACTAAATCTCTCCTTTCTGAGTATGTGGTCATCTGTTCTAGAAAGGCATCATCCAATTCCTCAGTCTGACTTAGGGGTCTGTAGTAGACTCCCACAATAACATCCCTGTTGTTTCCTTCCCCTTTAATTTTTATCCAGGTGCTCTCCACCTGATTTCCAGAGTTCAAGTCCTGAATCTTTTCACAGGTGTAAACATCCCTGACATATAATCTTATTCCTCCTCCTTTCCTGCTGGGCCTATTCCTCTTAAAAAGGATATACCCCTCTATTCCTACATTTCAATTGTGAGACTCATCCCACCAGGTTTCAGTGATGCCTCTTATATCGTATTTGCTTTGTTGTGTTAGGAGTTAAAATTCATCATGTTTATTTCCCATGTTCTGTGCGTTAGTGTAGAGACCTCTAAGAGCCTGGGTCCTGCTCACTTGCTGCCTGTGTGAGGTTTTTTCCTCTCACTGTTGAACCCTTGCATAATTTGTCTTGTTCCCTCTATAACACTTTGACATTTATCTCCAGCCCATGATGTACTCCTGCCTTCCAAGATACTATCTCCCTCCCCAACATGACTCACATTAAAGCCCTCCTGATCAAATGTTTGAGACTATTGGCAAAAACGCTTCTGCCAACTGGTGTGAGATGCAGCCCATCTCTTGCTAGAAGTCCACCCCCATGGTACCGCAGCCCATGATCCAAGAATCCAAATTGTTCTTGGAGGCACCATCTATGGAGCCAGTTATTCACATCTGCTATTATCCTCTCCACACCTGGACCATGCCCTTCAACTGGGAGAAGAGATGAGATAACAACCTGTGCATCCAGCTCTTTCAGTTTCCTACCCAAAGCCTCATAATCCCTTCTGATAGTCTGAAGACTATGCCTTGCAGTCTTTGGTTCCCACATAGACCAAGAGGAAGGGGTAATGGTCAGTAGGCTTTAGGAATTTTTGTTTTGGGAATTTTTTTTATTCAAAACTGAAAATATGCACATGTGAAATGAAACAACCAGGCCAGGTAAGCCTTGCATAAGTGGACAAAAACAATTGGAACCTCCTCTAAACCACTTGAAGCCTTGTATCCAGGGATTACTTTGTCTTTTCCCACCTTCCATTGTTTTATTATTTTCATTTTGGCAGCCGAACTTATAGATTTATGCTTTTTAAAAACATGCTGGAGATCTGGTGTGGTGGGATTGTCTGTAAAGTTAGGTCTTTACACTTTAGGATCTTTTCTAGTTCTTTCATAGCTGCTTTTCCCATTCCTAGTCTCCTGATTTCTTGGCTGCAGTCTCCATTCTGATCAATATTTGATCCTAGGCATGGGAATTCTTTGACTATTTCAATTTCCTTGTTATCTAGGATGAATTATTGTAGATCTTTTTTACCGCTTTAAAAAGATGACTTTTATGTGTTGAATATCTGAGCTTGAAAATAGGCAGGCCTTGATCTGGGAAAAGAATATGCTTTGTATCACTGACAAATGGAGAGTGAGTGAATGGTTTGAAATCAAAGTAAGTACAATAATAGCAGCCCTGTTTGGGATGATGATGATGATGATGATAAATAATAATAATAATAATAATAGCATACCTATTTGCAAGGATTATGATAATGATTATGATGATGATGATAATAATAATAATAATAATAATAATAATAATAGCCCTATTTGGGAGAATAATAATAATAATAATAAATAGCAGTCCTGTTGGGGGAGGAAGATAATGATGATGATGATAATAATAATAATAATAATAATAATAATAATAATAATAATAATAATAATAGCCCTATTGAGGGAAGAGGGTAATGATGATGATGATGATGATGATGATGGTAATAATAATAGCTCTATTTGGGAGAATGATAATAAAAATAATAATAGCCCTATTTGGGAGGAGGAGGATAATAATAATGATGATTATGATAATGATAATAATAATAATAGCCCTATTTGGGGGTAATAATAATAATAATAGCCCTATTTGGGAGAATAATAATAATAATAATAAATAGCAGCTCTATTGGGGGTAGGAAAATAATGTTGATAATGATGATGATGATAATAATAATGATAATAATAATAACAATAGCAACCCTATTTGGGAGGATGATAATAATAATAATAATAATAATAATAGTAATAGCCCTATTTGGGAGGAGGAGGATAATAATAATGATGATGATGATGATGATAATGATGATGATAATAATAATAATAATAATAGCAGCCCTATTTTGGGGAATAATAATAATAATAATAATAATAATAATAATAATAATAATAATAATAATAATAATAATAATAATAATAATAATAATAATAGCATTCAATAGCATTTGAAATGTGGTGTTTGGGATGAGAATGAGAACAGCAGCATTATTTTCCTGTAGTCGGGCTATGGCCGCTAGATGTCGCTCCTCCGTGCGAATTCCCCTTCTTCTTCTTCCTCTTCCTCCCGCACTTTCTGAGTGGCTCCCTCGTTGCTCTCCCCAACGCTGCCACTAGATGGCGCCGCAGGAGCGGAAAAGGAGGTCCTCCTTCTCTCCCTGCCTCCCTCCTCCCAAGAGGGAGACAAAGTTACCTGCAGAGCGAATAGGAATAGGAAGATTCCGTAGTAAGTTTGCAAGTCCTTTTCCTGGGGGTGGAGCAAGGAAGGAGCAAAGGGGCATACGTATCCCCCCCCATCTGCCCTGGGGTGTGTGGAAGAGGGCGCCCTGGGAGAGCAGCCGAAAGGTAGGTAGGAGTTGCTGCAGGGTTTTCATGGGGAACCCATAACATTTGGGGGGGGGGAAGAGAAGGAGGTGCTGCAGGCGTCCTCCTTTTCCAAGGCATGCCCTCCATTTCAGCCTTCTCTCCAGGAGGAAGTTAAAAGTGCCCCCCATTTGGAGCATCAGAAGCATGAACACATTTATTTCTAGGAGTGTTTTTACTTTCTTTTTGTTATGTCCTCCATTTTGGGGGAGGAAGGTCCTCCATTTTGGGGTGCCAAGTTGTTCTCCTTGGAGGTTATGACCTCTGGTCACCCTCTGCAGCCCAGTCTTTCTTGGGATGGTCCACAAGGGCCAGAGATCTTGGACTATTATAGGGGAGCCCCTTCTCCTTTTTGTGTGTGTCTTGGGGGGGAGGGCTAGTTGTCTGGCCATTGCAAGCATTGCAAGCATGACCTCTTTCTCCCTCCCCTCCAAATTCATCTCAGGACCTTTCAAGGTTTTTAGTAGGAACCAAAGAACCTAATCCCCAGCCTGCTTGGAAATGCCAATGCTCAGTATTTGGGGTGGTGTGTATATGTGTGTGTGTGTGTGAAGCAATGCAAGCAAGGCAGATTCTGGGCGTAAACAGAGTGTTTCCTGCAGTGTATCAGGAGTAGTAGGAGAGAGTCTGTTTTACATGCGAAATGAGGAGTCACCGTAGAGATGAGCATATCCAGGGGTAGCTTTGTTGGCCATACAGCAAAGTGCAGTAACATCCAGAATCCACAAAACACCGATACCTTTATGCAGGGTAACCACACATCCTCCTTTTCCAGGACATCTCTTCCATTTCAATCTTCTGACCAGGAGGAATTCCAGAATGTCCTCCATTGGAGCATGTTGTTGTTGTTAACTGCCTTCGCGTAGATCTTGACCCATGGCACTGACTCTATGGATGAGACATCTCCAGGCCCCCCTGTCCTCCACAGCTCCTGCAAACTAATATTTATGGTCTCTTTAATAGAGTCCATCCATCTAGCATGTGGCCTTCCTCTCTTCCTACTTCTCTCCACCTTTCCTAACATTATTGTTTTTTCCCCCCGAAGAGTCCTCTCTGATGTATCTGAAGTATGACAGTCCCAGTTTGGTCATCTTGGCTTCCAGGGAGGTTTGTGGTTTAATCTGCTCTAGGACCCATTTGTTTGTCTTTTTGGCTGTCCATGGG